CGAGTAGGTGGCGGTTGGTCGTGAGCGTGGGAGGATGGATTTGCGACGAGGAGTGATGGGAATCCTTTTCAGCGTCTCTCGGAGGCTCCTAGGCATAAATATTTGGAGGGTCAGTGAGCAACGTGTTTGCGTTGCAGTGGGTCGACAATGAGCGATAAATTGCAGTAGTTAAAAAAAGCGTAAAATTGATATTTTATCATTTGAGTCGTGATGTGTGTTGGGGAAAACTTCGACACCTTTCTTCAAAATCAAACTGGAATATTTTTTTATTAAATTTGTTTGTTTCTTGTATTTAAGAATGCCATTAATTTACCTTTTTGTATTTTTAACTGTGGTGCTGCCTGCTGAAGCGACCGTCTTGATTAAATCGTTACCTACATTAACTTAACAGGGATTCATTTATTGAACCGATTAATTTTTTTTTTGAAGACTTCCTTTTTGAAGCGTTCACCTGGCTACGCTATTAGCGGCCATGCACATTTCATTGCTGGACTGAACTTCCTGACAGTTTTTGTGGTTTTGATAGGTAACGCATTTGGAAACAGACATTCGGTAGATATTATCAAGTGTCTGCCGGCGTTGGTGCTCGTTTTGGATTCCCTATAACAGTATATGTGGTATTGCTTACCTTGTCTGGTGAATAATTTGTGTTTCAGAAAATAATAATGGATTTATGTGCATTGTATAGAAATACTTCCATTTTAATTTATCTTTTAGAGGAATGTTTCTTCTGCTCTTACTTCTCTGAGAAATGTTCGATATTTTACGGTTTTGTCATTAACTGGAGTGATCTCTGTCATCAAAGAACATTGTGTTTTTTTTTTCAAAAGTGATATTTTTCAACTCAAAATACTCTGTCTTATGATAAATTGTTATTCTTTAATTATCCAATTTGCAGTATGAGAACGATTGTATTGTATCAAACGTTTTATTTAAGTTGAGTTTTTTTTATTTCCTACTGATAAAATAAATTGGAAGCATCGACGACTGTAATCGTTGCCCAATTATTTTAAAGTGATTATTAAACAAAAATAATTACTTAGTTGAATTCGCAATATAATTATTTTTCTGTTTAATGTTAAAGCTTCGCGACAAACAATGTTGGAATAAGCTGAAAGATAAATATTTGGTAGAAGGAATAAAAATTGATAAAAGAATTAATTGGATGATTTTATTTGCAACAAAATATTACATCTTAAAATTGTTGGGGGATTCTAATTATTTTAAACAAAATAAATATTGGATTACACCCTTCATCAGTCCTTAAACCCACAGCATTTTTCCCCAGTAACTTTCAAAGAAAGTTACGTGTTAGTGTTTATACCATAGTTTATTCAGTTAGGGATCGAACAATTTTAAATAAGAAATAAATCTGTAAGTAATTAAAAATAATTACTCTTTACATATTTATACAACAAAATCATGAAAGCGTTTTATAATACTGATTCATCGTCGAAGTTATCAGACGTCGGCAATTATGTTTTCATACCTTTACAGAAACATTACCCAGAATTGTTGACTAGTAAATTTAAATTAAACGTTTAAAGATTGTCGTATTAACATAATATGACATTTTTCATTATGATAGTAACATTAATATAAAATGAAACAGATACAGTAAATAATATGTTTCAAAAATACATCGTCTGTTTAATGAGCTTATCACCAAAATGTTACTCACAAAAAACTCATTACACTAAAATATATCTTAATTATTTTTTACATTTTCCACCGATTTACAATTGTTTCTGGCAATTTCTTGGAGTTGTTGATTTTCTGCGCCGTCTCCAATCCTTCCAAAGGAGGTACAAGGTAACTGGCTGATGTCAGTGATTCAAATGTCCATACACTCATGTCAAATAGAAACAATGCCATAGGAAAAGTAGGGGTAGGACGCGAACGCTGGATCGATTTGACTAGCTCAATAAAGAGTTCACATCAGCATCAAATAAAAAGGTAAGGTTGACAGGTACGAGGATGGTAAACATATGGTAGTTGATTTTGTATTTATATTTTCTCTCTATGTAATATTTCACATTTCTCTTTGGATTGTGTAAGAAATGGTTCTATAGTTTAAGAACTCAATACGGGCATCCAATGCCCTTTCGGATTTTATTTAACATGTTAAAATAAATAAATATATTTATATCCTGTACACAGAATGATCGGCTCGGACGTCTAGCGATCGGCCCGCTTGCCGATTCCGAAGTCGTACATGGGGACCCGCTTGCCCAGGCCGAAGCTGTAGGGGCGGCGGATGTATCGCGTGAAGTCCTCGCTGATGGCGTCCCGGTCGTCTTCCTCGGGCTCCACGTCCAGGCCGAAGGCGTCGCTCGTCCGCTTGCCGATGCCGAAGCCGTAGTGCAGGCTGCGCTTGACGGCGTGCTTGCCGTTGGCGTGGGCGTCGTTGGGCTGGCGCTCGGGCGCCGGAGCCGCCTCGGCCAGCTCGTGCTGCTGGGCCTCCTGGTCGTGGTGGAGCTGCTCCTCTCGCACCGCCTCCAGCTCGTTCGGTGACACCTCCCGCTTGCCCAGGCCGAAGGCGAACCGGTGGTCGGGCCCGCGCTTCTCTTCGCCCAGGTCGCTCAGCAGGTAGGCCGGGTTGGCGTCCGCGCGCTTGCCCAGGCCGAAGTTAAACCGGCTGCCGGCCATGCGCTCGTAGTTGGGTCGCTTGCCCAGGCCGAAGGAGTACATGCGACCTTCGCCGCGCTTGCCCAGGCCGAAGCTGTACTGGTGCTGGGCGCGCTTGCCGAGCCCGAAGCTGTACATGCCGGCGCGCTTGCCCAGGCGAACCAATGGGCGAAGAGCGCTTGCCCAGGCCGAAGGAGTACAGGCGGTCGCGCCTTGTCCCACGCTGTCCGGAGTCCTCGAAGTTGTCTCGGGACGTCCTCTTCTTCCTCGCCGGGAAGTAGTAGTCGTCCTCGTCGCCAGGGAGTGCGCTTGCCCAGGCGCGAAACCGTACTGTCGACGCACCGGCGCGCCTTGCCAGGCCGAAACGTACTGGCGTCGCCGGCGCGCTTTGCCCAGGCCGAAGTTGTTCTAGACCGGCAGAGACGACTATGTATACGTCGGAGACAACGTAAGCTGTAAGGCCGCGCTGTGCCCACGCCGAAGGCGTAGAGCGCTTGTACGAACTCGAGTTCGTCGTCTGGCGTCGCGCCGCTGCCGGCCCGTTCTCCAGCGCTCGGGCAAGGCTCGCACCGCGCCTCCTGGGCGGCGGCGCGTCGGACGCGGGACACGGCCCGGAGCGGCGCCGCCGCGCGCAACGGCCGGGGAGGCCCGCGCGTCGGCACGAGAGGCGACCGCGGCGCGCGCGCGGCGGCGCCTGCAGCAGCGCCACGGCCAGGAGCGCCGCGCGCAGCAGCGCGGCCAGACACGCGGACCGCGGCGCCATGGCACCTGCAACACACGCCACGCCCCCGCACGTCAGTTTACTCATTCAGGGTCATTGTGCAGTGCATGCTGTGCTCGGGAGCTGGCAGTGATCTTCCCACGCTAGGACTTACTGTCGGCTAGCGTGGGTTTCCTCAACTAGATATCTCCACATGCGGGGAACAGCCCCAGCCAGAACAAGTTCTAAGCCTCTGATCGGTCTCCCGGCATGAGTGGCAGTGTAGTGCATTTAAGTATGATGTGTGTGTGTGTGTGTGTAAGTCCTATCTGTCTCCGTATAAGAGACAGGGTATAATGCATTTACGTGTGTGTGTGTGTGTGTGTGTGTGTGTGTAAGGAATAGGATAGGACAAGGAATTAGGAGAGATCGCGCGCCTATCTTACACTTGGTTTTTTGAAGATATATTTTCTTTCAAATAAATTTATTCTTCACAATAGTTTTTGATTCATGTCATATTCGTTGTTTTGAAGTATTAGTTGTTTTCGCGCAACTTTGAGTAAAATAAGTGCAATGTTAAAAAATATTCCTGGCAATATTTTCCAGAAAATTGTTCCAATTTTTTTCTCGATTGGGTAGCCCTGACCGCTCTGTGTGAGATAACATTTTCGCCATGTTCTGTATTTTTTGTTTCTGTTTTTGTATTTTCAAATTATGAAATGTTTGATATATCTCTCTCGTTAAAATTTATATTACCGGAGATTTGTAAATATTATTGCGTTTGTGAGTATATGTGTTTCAAAATATTTCCAATGAAGTTGCTCGAAAACTCCAAATGATTCTCTGAAAATTGCGCATTTTCAGAAAAGCAGAAACTGCGTTTTCTCTCTGCCCTGGACGGATTAAGGTGGCTCAGTGTTTCAGCTGTCACTGCTGTGCCTCTGACCGGGAGGTTGTAGAGTACAAAATTCATTTCATAATAAGATAATCGTATTCATACAATAGCTATCTCTAAAAGTCCTTACCATCAATTTGCTTTGTTATGTTATTCGAAAATTTCATATCAATGTAGTAAGGACGTACTTTCAAAATAAAGTCAAATGCTTAATAGATTTTAATCGGCAATATCGTAAAGCGTTTGAAGATGTTAGCAAGATAATTAAAACAAATGTTGATCCAGTAGTAGGCGTGTTTTAATTTTGACCATAATAGAGAATTGTTTTTTTTTCTTTGCCACGTGTAATTCACATGTCCGTGAATTTGACAGCAGGACTAGACGTCTTCCTCCACACAACAAACACGAAAGACGTGTTACTTAAACGTATGTCAAAGCTGTTTTTTTTTCATTTATCAGTATTGAATTTCACAGTTTTGGTTGTAATTTCGTAATTATTTCATAACATTATACATTTTTATCAAATACAATATAACTTTCAATGTATTATTCACTCACTAAATCGACATACAATAATAAACAAAGCAATTTAGAGGTGCGAACTTCAATAACGATAGTTCAGTAAATTATTTTTCTTTTAATTTTAAACGTATTTTAATAATTATTGTTTTAAAAATGATGGGATTTGAAGGAATAAACTACGAAGTATGAAGATTATTATAATAGCGCAAGTTTATTTTTGTTTGTGTTGTACGATGTTGGGCCTATTATAGTAGCCGAGGAAGTAAGATGAGATGGATTATATTAAGAATATAAATTAGTAATCTTAGTTCTTAATGACTCTCTGAATGTTTTGTTTATTCCTCAGTTTCTTTTTAACCATTAAATTAAGTGTAGATATTTTGTCGCCATAAATTCATATCCTGTGCAGTGTGAGCGAGAGAATTTCATTTTTGCTCTCTCTTCAGGTTGGCAATGCGCTTTTTACCACAATTTCCAGGAAAAACATTTCAGATTTAATTATGTATTGCATATGTTATATTCTGAATGGCACGGAAATAACTTGTGATGGAATTCTGTATTCGTATTGTAGTACTTATATTATGGATTCATTATCATTTTATGTTTTGATACGACTATATCTGGGCCATTAGAACGAGAAATTCGTTCAGTATTCTATATATTTTAATTTTGAATTGCCTGTGAAGTAAATATACTTGTAGTTTTAAATAGAAAAGTTATACTGTGTATATTTTATAAATAGTCTTCAGATTATGTAAATTAACATGGTTTCTTCACATTTTGTATTATAGAAACTTAGCTACTTTTGGAAGAACATTCACTATCTTCGCTGGAAATGCTGATACCCGAGTTAAATTTTTTAAAAATATTACAAAAATAAATTTTCTTTTATACTCGTAAATTATGAGTGTCATAATATGTGAATGAATAAAAGAATTACTATTTTGATTGAAACTTTAAGCTCTAGAAGCAATGTACATGCTACATAAAATATTTTACAACTCACTGTTTTCTTCTGAGTGTGTTTGTTAATGATTTAACAGTTTCTATCTGGTTGAAAAAGCGTAATCTAAAAAATAACTACAACACTAATCACAGTTCCTGTTTTGAGTCCGTTTTTAATAGGAATTTAAGTTTGCAGACTCTTTAAATATGCGCCGCATAAACAGAATGGTTAATGAAATTTTGCACATTTGGCTTTTAGGAAGAAGGGAAAGAGGAAATTTCGATAAATATACTTTCGTTTCTCTGTGCGTCTTCTTTTCCCGAATATTGTAATAACGAAAATTGCTCGAATGTGAGTTAATATTTTCTTGCAGCTTTTAATATATGATACCAAATACATTTGATACAATGTGATTTCGCAAATATGTTACATAAACTTCCGGGTTAAATTTGAAAATACAACTACTAAGTGCTCGCAGAGGAGCGATCACGGCGATAAGACGGGAAAAATTAGTGAGGTGAAGTAGGATAAATTTCACGCGATATATCTGTGCATTCGGCGACTGATTAAGTGCGAGAGAGAGACACTGGATATGCGCCGTAGAACCGTTCACACATACTATTAAGAAAACATCTGAAATTCTGATATTTTCTCTTGAAAATACCGGTATAATACCTTCATAGATATTTTACCTGTATAGACGTCGGATAAAGATAAAATACCTCTAAAATACCGTTATTTTACACGTACATCATTATTTGTAAAAGTATTTAGAATAGAGGTATAACAGAGGAATAAAATACCTTTACTGGTATAATTTCGGTATTCGGTTGCTGGGATAATAGAAAATGTAATTATTTATAAAATATACATTAACTTGTAATATGGAACGAGTGTTAATATTTTAAATATAAGGTTTCTTCGATTTGGACATTTGAATGTGTTTGAGTGACTTCTTAATTACAATGCAAATTTGAAAGAGAAAGATTAAAAAGAGTACAACTTTTTTTGTAATATCTGACATTTGTATGTGAACACCGTGAATTTGCGCGATACTTTCAGAGAAATTAAATCAAGTAGCACATTAAATTTTGGAATGGTTCCCCATTCTCATTCCCTTAGGAAATACAATATTGAGTGCAATAGATTGCATTTGCCAACCAACGATCTTCAGATCTATTATGAACACCGAGAAAATGTCGTTCACAGAAATACCTAGACTTTATTAAAATATTAATGTTTTATTGTAAACAAATATATAATTTTAACAAATAATTATACTTTGAATACAAATTTCCGTGTATTACAGTAAATTCACAAACTGTTTTAGAGAGCTAGAAATATTTTTTAAGAAGCAAGAAATCGGAAATTTCAGGTACTGAGGGTTAAATCATGCCTGAGTATCGGAGCTTGCTCACCTGTCATACATTTCAATGAATATTTGCTACTAAATGTATTACACATATCGTCGCAATTACACCTTAAAGAGGTGCACATCCCGTAGAGAAAAATTGAAAGTTATTTGCTTATTGTTTTACAAATGTATCCATCTCTTTTAATCTCATTTTTGTGGTTTGCTGGTTCAAAAGAATGAATTTAGTAATCCGTATGGATTGAAATGTCGGCGACTGCTGCTCTCGTACATGCTTACATACGAGTTCTTTTCCAAAATGAAATATACTGCACTCGTTTATAAAACGTTGCATTCAATCGCATTATCATGTAAACGTTTGTATTTACCACCTGTCATTCATTTCAATAATTATTTGCCATTAAATGTATTACACATATCATGGGTATTACAACTTAAAGTGGTGTAAATATCGTAGAGATTAATTGGAAGTTATTCGCCAATTGTTTTACAAATGTATCCATCTATTTTAATCTCATTTTAGAGGTTCGCTGGTTTGAAAATAATGAATTTAGTAATCTGTGTGTATTGAAATGTCGGTGACTGCTGCTCTAGTACGTCTGAGTTTCATTGCAACGCAAAATATACTGCACTCGTTTATATCACATCATCATTGTAATCGATCACAGTGTCATGTAAACGTTTATGTATAAATTGGTATTGT